GTTCAAGAAAAGCCGTGAGGAGCCAATATGAAAAGGAAAGTATCATTAATAAAACAGAATGCTTTTAAGGAAATAATCTGAAATAGATCATGTTCACTCCCTTCCCCACCTCAACTGATAGCAGCAACTTAAAGTAATTTTCAAAACATCTAATGAAACTAAACTTTCAAGAACACTCAGACAAGAAGAATCAGAAATGCAAGCTGGAGGAAAGTACTTTTTTCTTTAAGGTAGTACACTACTAGCAAAAATGAAGTACAAAATTCCAGTGTGGAAGATTTGTTTAAATGTATTTCACAGAAACTACAAATACAAGAGTTAAGCTAAACACCTCACTAGAAAGGTTAGTGAAAACATTTCAATTTCTAAATTTTCCACTGTATTTACCCCTTTCCCCAATATCCTTCTAAAACAATACTGCGTTTATCACTTTTCTGTCAAGTCCAGCACCACTGAAGTTAAGGCCTACAAGATGACCAAAATGCTTTTAGGCTGTGAGGTTGCAACACTGGTATCTGGGGTTTCAGTTGCAGAACACATGTACAATTAAGGCAGCCAAGGGTCAGGCCAGCCTCAAGTGGCTTTAATAAGCGTGGCCCAAAGAAGTCTAAAACGAGGCTTAGGAAATATCATTAGGATAGCAGGAAAAGCAGTGAAGTGAAATCTCTGGAGATGAGATTATTCAGACAAGGGTCTGAAAAAGGAAATTAGGAAGCTGAGAAGTATATAAACTTTGACCATTTACAGAAAGTCAAAGGCCAGAAAATTCTCCTCTGAAATAAAGATGGGAAAAGTCATGGTACATACCAGTGAAGTCCCCAGTCCTACAATGTACAAGTCAGGTACAGCATTACACTGCTTAACCTTCAGGCAACACATTGCCAGCAGAACTCAGCACACCATGGCAGGAGGTATCCATAAATCCACACGTGAAGGGGTGCTTCCTTCAACTACCAGCTTGAAATATAAAATAATTTCCGGAAGCTTAAAACACACGCATGCCTTACTTAAAATTCTTACTATACTTACTTGGGTAAGCAACGACTTTAACTGCAGAGACTTTAAACACAAATGTTTCTGCCTCCGTCTCCTACTCACCAAAGCTTGTCTTCTCATTTTCCTATTATAAAGTCAGTAATTCTCAGAGGGGGTGGGCAACCTGGCAAGATGAAAGGTGTGGAACCACACAGAATTCCCTTGAGGCTTTTAAAAACTACACAGCACTCCAACCCCATCTCACCTGGAGAATCACTGCATGGAGTAATTAGGCATTACTTTGGGGAGGGTCTGGTGCGTGGGTGAAGGCAGACTCGGGGAGAGAGTCAGTGCCCTGAAAGCCAAGGGCTTCTGAAATGTTAGAGTTAAGTAGAGTTACTAATTTTACTTTCTCTTATTAAAAACTTTTTCCATAATTTCCAAAGTACTTTCACATCAATTTCATCTGAGTATATGTATTTCCTCACTTAGTGGTGACTGCCTACTTCATCATAAAATAGCACACGGCAAAGTAAGTCTGTTAATGCATCAGGTAAACCAGCAAGTGAAAATTTAATTCAACTAAAATATTTTTACTTGGATAGAACTCAAAGTTTTCTGGAACCTCAAAACCACTATACAAATTTAAGAGGGAATTATGGTCTCCTAGACTGTAAACTCCTTGAAGACAAGGAATCATATCTTATCCTGTATCCTCCATAATTACCTAAACAATGCAGGTTCTTAAATGAGTAGAATGGACTGGCTTATATTCATTTATTTACTAATTCACTTGCTCAACATTGAGCACTGAATTCCTATTCTCTGTCAGGTTCTATGCGGGCTCAGATTTTTTCAAAATGGCATTGAAGTTTTAGCCCATAATAATGTAAAAGAAAATGATCACCATTCCTATTTCCTTTCTCTTATTTCTGATTATTAACTTGACTGGAATAACATATTTCTAATACATTTCAGTTTTCAAATGATGGGTATATACATAAATGCAGGTAACATTAATATAATGCTAAAAATTCATTTTCCATCTACCTTGCCCCTGAAACAGAATTCTACCACAGCCATACTGATAATAATGGTATCATTTGACAATCACCTCAGTCACAGTTGCTGGATTGGAGCCCATGATTAAAAGCATCTCAGCAACAGGGATTTTTTTTTTTTCTTCAGCAAGACCAAGCTACAACTGATCCCTTGTTTTGTCTACTCAACTTTTGTTGATAGTTGTAACAAATTTTATGGTCTTTCCTGACTCCTTTAAAAAATAAACCAAATATGGTAAACTGTGATAACAACAACATGCTAAATAATGTTTGTATTAAGATGCTAGAATTTATACAGAGTTTCACAAACTGGACACTATTTCCTTTTAGTCCTCAAAACTCACTTGACGGATGAGAGAATTGGGACTCAAAGCTGGGGTTGCCCTGTCTGTCCCACATGGCAGAGCTGGGACACTTGAGTCTGAGCCTAGGTCTCCTGACACTCTCAGTCCAAGGATCTCTTCACCACAGCTCCCTCCTTGTTAGCTCAAGCTCAGAGCTGTGCAGACTGAGAACATGCAAATATTAAGTCCATGAAAGGTTATGCTGTGAAACAGTAGATAGTGGTTATCAGAACTGTCAACAGAGCCTCAGAAAAAAACAAAGCTCTCTATTTAACGAGACCAAAATTGGCCAGACGTTGAGAAACAAAATGGGCAATAGATGGTGTTACAAACAATTTAGTGTAGACTTAAATGTGATGATGAACAGAAATTTGATACTCACAAATCCTCAAACACCACAATTCATAACTAGCTCACTCATTCTGTCTGCTTTAGAAATAACTGGAAATTTTCTAAATCTCTTTTTGAAAACAAAACTGCAAAAAACCCCTAACACTATGATCTTGTTCTTCAGATCATAATATTCCATAATATAATAATATAAACTAAGAAATATAAACCAAGAAACAGATAAGTAAATTGAAACGCTCACTTGATATATGGTGCTCCAAGAGAAAAGAAAGATACAAATATATGTAGGTCTTTTATTAACATTTAACTTAAAGAGCATCAAAGAGAAGCATAAACAGATTTGAGAGCTGAAATACTACTGGTTTTTCACAATCTTACAGATGAAACTCGGAATAATTGCATAGGGTATTTACTATTAACCTTTAGGGTAAAAAAATTCAAATTCAAAAGCTCATTAGTAAAATAATAGAACTTCATTAGACAATAAATTCACTTCTTCACACTGATGCACCCTAAGCGGTAACTACAAGGCATGTACTAAACTGCGCATATATGTTCAAATACAAGAGAAGTTGCAATACAACAGAAAACATGGAAACAATACGGGATTCTCAATCTTCTGACTATAACAGGTACATCATCACTGTAAATAGCAGCCATTCAAATAGCACGGTTGTCCTTGGTCTACCAACTCTGCTTAATAAGCTTTTTCTATTGTGTCACCATTAATATTAAATTGCTCAAATCATTTTCAATAGGCAGGGGGAAAACCCTTCCCAGATTCAAAAATTATAGTGTGTGTAACTGGAAGAGAACTTTCCCCCATCCATTAAATTTGTAGGAAAAATGTTTTTTGCTCTTACAGCTTTTGTTTAATTGGTCAGGTTTGATTGAGTCAACATGGATTTTCAGCCTGCTTTACTTACTGCTATACTCTTACTAGCTAGAACAGGGCCTGGCACATAGTGCAGGTATTTGTTGAATGAATGAACTCTTCCTATGATCTATGGCTCGTTACGTAAGGATATATCCAAGAACTTCTTACTTTAAATGACTTAACTGCTTTTAAGCTTGAAATAAAGAAAACACCCAATGTTAACTTCAGTCAGCTGCTTGTGAAAAGGAATCTTTCTAAACGTGTAAACAGTGGCATGAGCAAGGTGTACAGTTACGCTCAGGCCAACTTGGGTGTCATCAGTTACCTCACATATTTCTCTAAGTTCCACAGCTAGAATAGCTAAATTGTAAAACACTGCCAGGACTCAATTAAGCTTATATGACATCCTGAGAATTCTCCTTTGTAAACTAACCACTTCTCCTCTTAAATCATTTCTTTATGAAGGCAAGTACCATGTAGAATTAACACAGTGAGATCAGAAAATAACCGTAGAACACAAGCGCTGTAGAGGGAAGCTGGGATGGTCACTCAGTCGCCCTGTGAACCTGTTGTCCTACCCCTCGGTATTGAATTCAATTTCTATTTAAAGGGACCCGGCTTTGCTTTGGGGAGGATTAAAAACAAATCAAACAAACAACAACAAAAAAAAAACCACGTGAGTTTGGAGAAAAATCCCTTTTAACGGGTTCGAAGAAAACTATCTGCTTAGAATTGGCAAAATAATGCGGCTGAGAAAAGGGTCATTTCGCCTGAGTCTGGAGCGGGGCCACAGCGCATGATTTCGGGGGGTGGGTATGAGCTTCAGCAGTCGGTGTCAAGTTTGAGATCCCGTAAGAGAAGTAAAAGGCGAGAGAGGGCAACGTGACCACCTGCCCGGTCCGCCGAGGGACCGCGGGAGGGGGGCCCTGTCTGCTCCCAACTTTGTCAGCCTTCCCCGTCACCGGGGCATATGGTCCACGCGCCTCCCAGCCCGGGCCGGCGACTCCCGGGCCAGAGGGGACTGAGGGCCGGGGGGACAGAGGCGGCCCGTGGGCCCCGGGAGCGGCCCCGAGGGCGCGGCGGGCGCGGGCGGGGAAGGGGTCGCCGCCCCTCCCCCCCGGCGGGGCCCGGACGCTCCCAACGGCGGCGCGGCGGCTCCCTCAGCCCGCGCCCGCCGCGCCCTCGAAGCCCGGCCGGCGGCCCTCGCCACGCCCCGCGCTTCCCGGGGCGGACCCCCGGGGCCCCCTCCCTCCTGGGCAGCGCTCCTCCGAAGAGCCCCCGGCGCGGGCGTGCGGCCTAGTCGGGGTTACATAACGGGGCCCGTCCCCTCCGGAGCCGGCCGGGGGGCCCGCGGGGCCCGCGCCGGCGGAGGCGGGGGGCTCCGCCGCTCACCTGCCGTAGATGCCCTCGGTGATCCGGTTCCGCTTTAGGGGGCGGCGGAGCTTACTGCAGTCGGCGTTCCGCCGCTTCATCCTCCCGCTGGGGGGCCGGGTGCCCGCGCCGCCGCCGCCGCCGCCGTCTCTCACCTCAGCCGCAGCCGCCGCCGCCACCGGCCCGCCCCGCGTCGGGCCTGGACTCTACCCCTGGGGCCGGTCACACAGACATGGAGCCAGCACCCGGGGGGGGAGGGGGTGGGACGGGGAGGAGGGAGGGGGGCGCTCAGAGCTTCCTCCGCCTTCGGAAACAAAGAAATGACAATTCCGGGGCCCGCCCGCCCCAGCACCAGCCAGCCGCCTGCCCCGCCTCCACCGCTCCGACGGACGGCCTCTAGGACCAATCGCAGGCGCCGCTACGCTGCTACCGGCCAATCCCGGGGCCCGCTGAGGCAAAACGGACTCTAGAACCCACCTCTTTGAAGGACAGAAGAGTGCACCAATCATGAAGGTGTCTGGGCCTGCGTCCGAGCCTATCAGAAACGATTTAAATAGAGGCTTATAAATAGGCCCTATAAATATAACATCCTATATTCTGCCTTGTTACGAAGGTGCATTTCTTTATTGTTGGGTTGCATTTCACTGTATGAGAATTCACATTAGAGCATGAGGTGCTTTTTTTCATTGTTAAGCTATCCCTAGCGCCCTATGAAATCGCGAGGCCTGGGTTTGCGGCATGTGCTTTTCTGTGCTGAACTGAAACTCCAGTCCGCCGCATCCTTATGTAAGGGGCTCGCCGCATCCTCCTCGTACGGGAAGCGCCAGGGACAGCGCCGGGGGCCCTTCCTGAGGATCCTGGAGTGCTCGGCCAAGCCGGCCGCGTCTGCGAGCGACGGGGGTACGAATGACAAAGCAAACCGCACACACGGACACACATAGGCACACTCACACACCCTGCCAGCTTCCCGCGACGTGGTGGTGACAGCGCGGCGGCCAATCGGAGGAGGCGTGGGGCGGGGCCTCCATGGTCCCGCCTCCTGGAGGCGCGTCACAGGGGCGGGGCCGTGGTGCGCGCGCCGTCGCGCGAGGTTGCCGCGGTGGGTGTGTGTGGGGCGGTGCGGCCCGGGCTCCACGTCCGCAGGGCTGACTTTGGCGGCGGCGGCGGCTTCTTTGGGCACCGCGCCTGCTGGACCTGGCGAGCATTGACGTCGGAAGCGTCTCTGCCCCCGGGCAGGGTTCTAGTGCCGCGGGGAAGGTGGGTCAGTGACCCTTCTCACCTAACATTCCTAGAGCGCCCAATTCTCTGCGAAGCACCGTGCTGGGTGCTCTGCATCTGTTTGTTCTTTTACTCTTCATTGCTCCCCTGCAGCATAGGTATGGCAAAATAGCAGTTAGAAAAGACAAAGTTTTTTTTTTTTAAGAGAAAGGAAAAGAATAGATTTCAAAAAGAGGAATGCATGTCAGTAAAGAAAAACTGGGGAAACAGAGAAGTTGCTGAAGGCGGGGGATGGGAAAGACACCCATGGATCTCATCTCATCTTAACAGAACTACTGTTAGCATTCTGTATTTTTCCCTGTCTTTCCAGTTTCCTCCCCCTGGATGATATATTCCTACTATTACTGTTGTTTTTATTATTATTAAGCAGGATATGATTGTATTAGACTTTCAGTTTTGTAGTTCTGTTCTTTGACATAAGCATTTTAACGTGTTATAATGAATTCATCCTTCCTAAATATTTCTGATGGTTGCAAAATCTCCTATGAAGTGACTGTACCAACTTAACCATTCACCAACGGAGGGACTGTTAGATGGTCTTACAACACATTTTAAAAACTTACAGGAAAGCAGATGCCATCTTGTTTTGTCCTGGGATGCGTGGACATCTCCCAGCCCTGTGATCATTCCCTTAAATAAAAATCCACCCCAAGAAGGAACTTGTAATTTATCCCAAATGCATCATCCTCAGCTACTGCTGTTACTTTATACTGTCACAAATCTTCACAAAGATTACCCAGTGCCTGGAAAAGAAGACCCATTCTGTTTATTATGGCATCCAAAGCTGGTCACAGGGGGACCCACCCCTCTTTCCCAGGCCTCCCCAGGCCAGCAAGCCTTAATCTATTCACTGTCCTCAAATCCACTAAGACAACTATATCTTTCCTCTTACGTGCCTTTGCTTCTACAGAGAGCATCTCCAGGAATACTGTTCCTAATTTGTGGTTTCTTGGATGAGGCTTGTCCATTCACCTGGATGAAAAGCTTCTTGGGGACTGGATTCATACCCTGTAGAGATGCATTTAGAAAAATTGCAAGAGTATCTGCTTTTTCAGACCTGGATTGAAATTCCAGCTTGGCCACTTGCTAGCTTGGGCAAGTTACTGAATGTCTCAGAGCCTCTGTTTTCACTCAGGTTTGTTTGAAGGCTATTACCAGATGATGAACTCTCAGGGACAGACATGCAGTAGGTTACTGCAAGTCATTTCTGTTAACAGTATATCTGTTTTTCATCCTTCACCTCTACTCCAGCCTTTTGATAAAGTGTCACTGGGCAGCCAAGGATAACAAACTCTGTGAGCTCAAAGTTTCACCAAGCCTACCTATCATTGTGAAAGCATCTGAACCTAATACTCTGCTTGAAGCAAAAGAAAAAGACTTCTGTTGCCAAGTTGCCACGGTTGGTTGCCAAGGCAGGTTGATTCATGGAAAAGGATACAGGTTGGTTCATGGAGAAGGATACCTAAATCAATATAACTGAAGGCTTGAAGGCATAGGTACATGGTGAGATCATGGCTTCGGACTCCACGGGGTCTGCCAACTGGAATAGCCCTCTTCTTCATGACTGCAAGTTTCCAGATTACCTGGGCCAGCAACTAAGTCAACTCTGCAAGGTTAGAGGCCATATCTTTGGTCTTGCCCACTCCACTGTCCCTGTTGTCTAGGACAGTGCCATGGCAGACTGTGGAATGGACGGGTTAATAGTCCAGAAAAAGGATGGGAGAGGCACTGGGGACACTTACCAGCTTTCTGAAGCTCTCTGGCTAGCCTCCCATCAAACAGGTTCCTGACAAGGGCTGTGGAGAAATATAAAGTGACTGGGAGTTACTGTTAGTTGTTGGGCTTCATGGGAGCAGAGGAAGGGCAGAGAGAATCCCAGGGTGATGGCCCAAGAAGAAGCAATCTGGAGGTCTGGGTTCCAGTCCCACTTGAGATGTCAACTTGCTGGTGTCCTGAGTTGAGTGACCTGTCCACTTTGCGCCAAGATTACCTCTTAGAATCACTTCAAGTCCTGTGTTTAGAAGCAGAATATATTAGCTCCATTTTGCAGGTGAGAAAACTGAGGCTCAGAGAAAATAAGGTCATGCAGTTGCTATGGTAAAGGAATTTGGCTTGAGTCACAAGCTAAGCTGCATGGAGCCTTGATGCTCTAGGCACCTCCTCTCGTGCCTGTAAATAACTCTTGATGTTAAGGGTGGTTGATCTAATGATCACCTGGAGTGGAATGATGGGAAAGGCCTTCTTGCCAAGAGTCCAAGGACATACCACTGTAAGTCTTCCCTTCTTCATTCCCTTCCTCTCACTCCTACTGCCCCAGCTGGACTCTGTATTTTCCTGACCCTCCTTACTCCAAACCCCTTTGGCTTTACCTAAGTTCCAGCCTTTCAAACTGAAAGGACCTTTTAGGATCCTCAGCACACAAAACTGGCCTGAGATGAGGCAGGCCTCCTGCCTAATACAGAGCTCCCCAGCTCCCCACTCTTCCTCCACCAATCAGGAAGCAGGGGAGATCAGCAGTGGCCATTTAACAGATGAGTAAGACAGGAAAGAGAAATCATTTGCTCTCATTCCAAAGACCAAGTGCCAGACAGGAATTCAGGGCCATTCCTCCTCTTCTCTTGGGACTTTCAGATAGCCAAGGGGTTGGGATTGGCACATAGGTTTCAACTGAGCTCAGAATAGCCTGGAGGAGATCATCACGTGCTGTTTCACATCCAAGGAAATTGCATGTCCACCTTTTCAGCAGCTTTTATCCCCTCAAGCCCACCAGGCAAGGCTGGCTCACCTGCCTTCAGCTTTGTTCCTGTCTCATGTGAGTCACAGGAAAATCCAGACTTTGGATGGCCACCTCTTATACATGTCCCCAGAGAACTCTGTTAATGAAGATATTTATAGTAGTGTTTAGAACAGAAACAGTTTTATAAATAACCCAAATATCCCACAGAGGGGGCTTGTCAAACAAATGATCACATTGCCTTACCATGGAAGTCAGTGTGCCCTGGAGAATAATGACACATAACACTTATTTTATGTGGGTACTCCTCTAAGTATCCTACGAGTTTTGATCTAATTCTCACAGCAACCCTATAAGGAAGAGATGACTGTGCATGCGTGCTAAGTCGCTTCAGTTGTGTCTGACTCTCTGCGACCCTATGGATTGTAGCCTGCCAGGCTCCTCATTCCATGGGATTTTCCAAGCAAGAATACTGGAGTGGGCTGCCATGCTCTCCTTCAGGGATCTTCTCAGCCCAGGAATTGAACCCGTGTCTCCTGCATTGGCCAACGAGTTCTTTACCACTAGCACAACCTGGGGAGCCCAAGAGATTACTACTGGTGCTATATTATAGATGAGAAAACTGTGGCACGGAGAAGCTAAGTCATTTGCCTAAGGTCACACAGTAAGTGATAGAGCTAGGATTCAAATGCAGGTAGTCTAGTGTCTGAGCCTGGACCTTTACCCACCATAATAGTGTTGTAGAAAGATTTTTCCTGGTTTGGAAACTGCTTATGATATACTGTTCATGAAAAAAAGCAAGTTACTAAACATGTGCTATATAATCTCATTTTTTGTAGGGGAAAAAAACAAGGCATAAATTCACCTGAATAGAAAAAAATCTAAAAGATTATATACAAAAAGAAGTAGAGCTGGTTTGGAGAGATGATGAAATCGTGGGTGCTCTATGTAAGTTTTACACACCTCTGCATTTTTGAGGTTTTCTAAGGTAAACATGTCAAACTTGACATTATGCAATAATAATCATTTCTAACATTTATGGTAAGTTCTCTACATATGTGACACTTTATGTATACTACCTCATTTAAT